CGTGACATGTTTTCTACTCATTCATCGTCATTCGCCGAAGGAGATTTTTTAAGAGCCTGTGTACCGTTGAGACTCGCCGTTGTGAACACGTGGAAAATTTTACGAAAGCGCAGTGCCGCAGGAAAAAGGTACAACTTGTCGAAAGCAAGTTTCGCCGGTCTCGCGGCAGGATCAAGATTTCAGTCAAATATATCCATAGGCGCGCTTGTAGCGCGAGCCGCCACATGTCCAGATGAATATCTCAAATTAAATAAGCACCACAACTTTTCTATCCACTTCCCCGGAGCAGCTGTTCACCGTTCTACCATAATACACAAAATGGCCGGCCCCAAGTCGACTAGCCAGAGTGGAAAGGCTGGAAGAGTTGCCGCCATCTATTAGCGATGGCGGCAATCAGACAACCGGAAAGACGGTTGTCTGGTTGCCGCCGTCGCTAATAGATGGTGGTAGCGGTCCAGAGTTTTGTGTAGAGATTTGTTTGCCCACGGACACGATACTGGGGAAGCTAGCCCTTAACAGCTCCGCTGTAAAACATGTAAGTAGAAGTTGCAGTAACTCGATGTAACAATACTTTTTCTTGGACTCTTCTCTCTCGCGCCATGCTGTCGATGGCTGGGTTGAGAACGCCTCCCCGCGGAGAGACGCCGCCTCCTTTTCTTTTTCCGATTACGCCCTCTCGGTACGAATGGGACTGCCGGAGAAGCGTTCGCGCGCTTCGGGCGCTTCGGGATCTAGGAGGCCATGGGATTACACTCGAACTGCTGGGGAGCGAGTTGAATGGGACGGCCGGAGAAGCCTTCGCGCGCGCGCTTCGGTATCTCGGAGGCCATGATAAAGCAACTTTTCCATGCGCCTGCTAGCTGAAGCTGGTAAATGCTGGTCAGTGTGCTTAAATTAATTTAGTTGGCTACAAATGGGAAACAGTCAGGGCAGGAGCGAATCACAGGTGACGGAGATGTTGACGTGCGCTAGAATAACCAGCATGTTTTTTTTTTTTTTTTTAGAAGTTGCGGAAACATCACAGAACTTGCGATGCTTCGTGGAAGCCGAGCGTGTTTTGGGCGCCGGTCACATCATTGTGTGTGGCAAAATATTTCTGTGGGTGGTGAGAACGGATAGGCCAGATAAATTTCTAACTGGGTCCACTTAGAGTCTACAACCACAAATGGGATAAGCCGGTTTGACTTGGGAACCAACGGGTACCTAACTGGGAACCAACTTGAAGCAAAGTATTGTAACTGGTAGGAATGATTTCCACATGGCCATCTCTCTTCCGACGGTTCTGCATCACTTCCGACGTCGAAGGAGTGTTTTCCACACGGGCCTCCCTCCTCCGACGGGAGTACGTCACTTCCGGCGTCGGAGGAGTGATTTGCACAGAGCCCTCCCTCGTCCGACGGGAGTCGGAGGAAGCACTCCCGGTGAAAATATCGAGGTGTTTGCGTTGTGCCTGGCCACCAACCAGAGCCTCTAAACTCGTCAAACACAAGGTTGGGGCCGAAGTTGACGGAGCGCACCGATTGGCCTATCACAACGATGACTTCGCGCTTTTTTTGCCGACGTCCAATCGGCGCGCTCCTCGAACTTTCGGCTCCAACTTTGTGTTTGACGAGTTTAGGGCACCAGTGCTCTAAAACGTGAGCCGCGGATAGAGTGACCGTGAAGCTACGGTAGAGCAGCTTTCGGAGTATTGATGTCTCTGTGTCATAGGCTCACTGCTCACTGTCGCGGTTTTAGTGCATTGCAACACCTGGATACCTAGGTTCGACATTGTAAATGTTCCTTTTAAAAGTACACGGAAGTGAAGTTTTCACGTTTGATTGGTTGGAGGCAAAAGTGATGTAATTTCCCTACAAAAATGCAGGGGGAGTCGGCTAAACCGGGTGGAGTTGGCTTACCGGACGTGACATCATAGTGACATTTTGTTTTGTACCGACTACGTTTAAAAATGTACTTATGAGAAGCGCAATTAGTTCGTCTACTTCTTGCACAGGGGTCGCGATAATGGCGGAACGCCGAGCTCTTATTGGCTGATTGAAAAAAAAAAAAAAAAATAGTGGGCAGACCACAATGCATCAAACATTGAGGTCTGCCCACTATTTCTTTCAATCAGCCAATCAGAACTCGGCGTCGTTCTGACGTCACCGCAACCCTTGCGCAAGAAGCAGACGACTTGCCCTCCGGTGACATGTTCGGCGGCGCGTCTATAGGCTCCTTGCACTGAGGTCACATCGCACACTTTTGAACACCAAGTAAGAGGAGGAGAGGGAAGCTGCTTTTGTAAGAATTTTGAGTGACAGGTTAATCTTCTATAATCTTCTGCGGGGAGAATAGCGACGCCTGTACAAATCCGGGAGGTACAAAGGAGGGTCCTGATAAGAGGGGAGCTCCTTCTTCCCCTCTTCTTTGGAGCGCAACGGAAATGACGTCCTGTGCAAGGAGCCTATAGCGTGACCACCCGTCCCGCGACTCGCGGGACTGTCTTGCATTGAGGGCTTGTGTACCGCGTCCCGCAAGCGAATTCCCAAATCTTCAAAATGTCCCGCATTTCATACTGTCGTAAAATTCACTCTGCAACTTATGGCGCTGCCGAACAATGGGGCACGGGGAAGCCCGGAGGTCGCTGGTAATCGTATGAATCGCAATGGGACGCCATTTTCTATCCAAGCATTCCGGGAAGCGACCGTCGTTCTTAAAGGAGAACTGGCGCGCATTCTCCGTTGTGCCTCTCCCCTTGGTGGCAAATTATTCTAAGAAAGATTGCTTGCCAAAAGTTTCAATATAAAATATTGTAATCATTTTCAAATCGCTCTGTCAATGCAAAAGGGTTGCTGTGCATCTTTGTTTTAGTTAACACAGCCACAGAAGGCAGAGCCTGCAACTCGGAACGGTCGAAAAAGAGCATAATGTTAAAACTTTGTGTTTGACTATGTTGATAAAAGTAAGCGTTGACAGGAAACAATAACCCGAAAGAGATTTAATGTTTCTTATTTTTATCTGATGCAGTGAGTTACGCTACAGTCGATATTTATGTTTTCAACTTCGACACATTTAATAACACATTTACCATAAGAGATATATTACTTTTAGTAAAAATTAATTGAGCTTAATTGCTGCAATACAATTAGCAGGTGTATAAACAGCACATGATGTTAAATGTATTAACAAAGCCTCGGTTCGTGGTGTGTGTGTTAATAAATTTCCTCAACCCTACTTTCTGAAGAGAGAGAGAGAGAATAAACTTCATTCAAATCGGCCCAGCAGTTTTGCTTTAGGGCGAGATGGGGGAAAGAAGCTTTCCGTAGGTTGTACTCAAGAGCTTTACAGTACTAGGGGAGCCAGTGGCGTCACTAGGGTCAGCGGCAACCAGGGCGGTGGACCGCCGCGACGCCACTGCATTGAGCAGATTGTGCTGGCGAGCGCAGGACCCGAAATCCGCACCGTATGTGATCTACGAAAAGTTCCCAAGGAAATTAAACATCCCTGTCCCTTTGCACAACGCTGTTGCACAACGAGACACTAGCTTTTTTTCGTGAAAACTAAATGATGCACGAACACGTACACCAACCAGAGCAGCAGCACCAAGGCCAACGTTACTAGCACTCAGTTGGGAAACTGCCAATCCTTATCCCAGTACCGAACCGAGCTAAATAAGGAGTTTTCTAGACCGCGTTTCCCCCTCCGCTAAGCCCTCCGCTACGAAGCCGTCGCTACTGCGCCGGCGCGCCGATGGCCTTGACTGTAGAGTTCCGGCTTGCGGAGAGCCGTTGCGGGACAGCGGAAACGATCTACAAAAACTCCCTAATGGCGATCGCAACGCTGCCATTTCTCCCGCAGCGGCCACTCCGTGAACTGCATGGCTGCTGGTTCCGTCAAGTCACGGAAGGGACGGTGGCGCCATCTCGCAGGGCCATGTATATTTTTGGGTCTCTGCCGTGCTGGCAAGTGTTCTCGGTTTAAGCTTTCCGTAGGAAAAAAACAAAAAAACAAAACGTGTCAGCCATTTTACTCTAGTGAAGGGAGACCAGCGAAGCTGTACTATGATGGGATGACCTCAAGGACGACGTCTAGACAGCGAACGTCTAGGACTTCATTTTTCATTCCATTTTTGCTGGGGCCTCCTCTCCCCCTCATACAGCATTTTGTCATGGGCAACCAAAATCCTGGCTACGTGCCTGCTACAAGCTAATTTAATTAGTCCATTATTCCACCACAGAATAACCTTCACTCTCTCTACAACTATACTCGTTTTCACCTAAAAAAAAAAAAAAATGAAGTTTTAATGTGCCTTGTTCGTACTCCGCGCGAAGTAGTTCTTACAACATTTGGTTGTCGGAAGAAGCAATGTTTTTAGCGTTTAAAACTTGTATGGCTTGTATACTAAAAAAAAAAAAAAAAATCACATATATTCAGTTATGCTACGCGAGGAGCCGGACTTTTTTTTACTACGGTTCTGGGGTGAAAACGAGTTATAGTATTCTTTCATCTTAAAGGGGCCCTGCAATCCTATTTAGGCATCTACCTTTTGCGGTTTCCGCGTCTCTTGTGGTCCGGGCAACCCACCGGACGACGCGGAAACCTCCTCCTCCTACGGGGGTGCCCCGTGGTGTCGAACGCGCGCGGCATGTGATGAAATCGTGACGTTGTTGGTCCTCGTCAGCCGAGGAGAGAGAACTGCCCCGTTGAAATGCCGCGGTCCGCGGGCGCGGGAAAAGGGGGGACAGAGGACCAAGGATGTCATGAAAATTATTATTATTTTTTTTTTTTTGTAATTCTAATGTGCTTATAACTTTTAAAATAAAACAAATTTCGAGGTTCGGTGCAAATAATAAAAAAAAAAAAAAAGCAGCAACAAGTCGTTGCAGGGCTTCTTTAAATAAGAAAAGGACTACAATAAAAGCATAAAAAGGACTTTTTTTTTTTTCGTACTAATGAATTCTGGAGGTTATAGTGCACTTTCCCAAGATTCCCAAATTTAATGCTCAAGAAAACATCACAAATATTAGGCGAAACATTTATTTTATACAAACCACAGAAGGTACACAGAATGACTGTGTTATGATTTACAAAAGAAACAAGTCATTTTCAGTACAATACCAGTAAGGCTTATTAAAAAAAGTAAAAAAAAAAAACTTACATGGCACAGGTGAATAAGTGACCAGAAAAACAAACAAAACAAAAACAGCAAGGGAATTTGGAATTTGTTAAAATTTACATTCCAATTATGTACAAGTGTGCAAATACTTCAAGGGCCAGTAGTTTCATACCTCTGTGCCCACCCTATTTCCGGGCAAGTATCTACTGTATGGAGTTTCCTATTGTACAATCCCAGACATGGTTATGTCTGCGGCAGACCTGAAGCAATGAATAATATGGTTCATTCCAGGGTTCGTCTCAGGCTAAGCTAGCACCCTAACAACCCACTGCTACTGAACTTAAATAACTGGGACACAATCAAAATAGTATCAATCTTAACTATAGCAACCACAATATAATAATATTAATAATAATCATAATAATAATAATATAGGAGGTATTGTTGTAACCATGCTAACATATTCACTGAACTTAACATCACATGCACATCGCGCGCACGCACACACACACACTCACACACACACATACATAGGCCTCAACTGGAACAGGTGAGAAAATAACACAGAAGACAAGCAAGAAAGAAGGCAGACTTTTTTTGGCGAATTACCAAATCAAAAATAGAAGACGATTCCGGCAAGAAAAAAAAATACTAGCAAAAGAAAAAAAAAAGGGGGGGGAAGCCATCTTGTTCTGTGGCGCTTGACTGGCAGTTTGATTTGTGAAATATATTTGTGATAGTGAAATGTCAAGACAGCAGAGCAATAAGCATTGAAAAACATATTTCTTTTCTCTCACACATCACTAATCAACGATGCTGGTCTTGTGGTGCGGTGAACTTTCGGCGAGGCTTCGAATGGTGACAATCCAGATGAGGGTCTGGTAAAGTTTTGCCCAGAGAGCACAGTCACAGGTGGGTAGTCTTCCAGTCAGATTCCACACCAGCGTGGCAAAAATTTACAAACTGTTCTCAGAAACCAGTTTCTCCAAGTGACCCAAAATAATTTTGCGGACAGTGAAAACGCGTCTTCCCCTGCGGTACTGAAACTTTCTGGACAACTCCTATGGCACATAGTGAACACACACACAGATCAGCTCACGTCCTTCTATCAGGCGACAAGATGTTCAATTGAACTAAAGAACGGCCCTTGAAAAAAAAAAACACAAAAGAAAACTGAAAAGACAAGAAGGACCCTGAGGTTTGGTTGTGGTGGTGCTTGCCGTTTTGATTCTCACGCAATTGTCCGCTCTCCCCGTTTTAGGATTGCAATAAGTTATCGGAGGAAGCTAAACTAGACTGTTCTAGAATTCCATGTTGGAAAGACGATGCTTCATGTCGTGGCTGTACTCAGGTGCTGGAAAAGAGGAAAAATTGAGAGAATATCACTTGGCTTGTTTTTCTCGTTTGGTAACAAACGTGCCATAGTCGTAGGTCAATTCTACTAGACTTCAATGGGGCTTTGAAAGGATACTGGTAGTTGGGAACCAGATCACCTTTCTCCCTCTCGTGCAATTATGTCGGATAGGTGTCACTGAAACCTCTGTGTGACATGTACAGACTGGCAGCAACATTGTTGTGTTCTCTTTCCTGCTTTGCACAACCTCTTAGGCTTATTGCCTTAGGAGAGAAAACAAAGTCAAACCTAATTTAATGATCTTTATGCTATGAAAACCAGTGCTACTTCTCTATGCTTTAAAATTTGTTCTAAACTCTAGTTCAAAAATTAAGACTGCAACCATGCAAGTCACAACATGGGGAAAAGCTGTAGACAAGTGCAGGAGACATGCTTACTCATGCAGGTGCAGAGAAAAGCCTTGTGTGTGGAGTGAGGACGTTACCTCTTCCCCACAGCGTGAGCCTTCCTCCGAGTGAGTCGTGAGCGAGTCATTGGAGAGCAGGGAATCGCTGCGTTCTGCCTTGCGATGCTGACGCGTCGTCACCAAGGATGCATCAGCAGTGCAGTCGCCTGTCGTGCTGGCATCCGTGCAGAAGCCACTCTCTGATTGGTGCAAGAAAAATATTGCAATTCCAGTCACCATTGCCATCAGAGATAATACTGAGAGTCAAAGTGGGGGATACCAGTCTTCGTTATGACTGATTCTTTACTGTGCTACTCACTCACGACAAGGCAGCGCGATCAGCGATAACTCAATCGCTGATCGCGCTGCCTTGTCGTTGTCTGAACTTCTAGACAATGATGTCGACATCATTGTGATCTAAAGAGTCGTGAGAAGACATTTTGCAAAGTCTTCTGTTCCTGATCACATCACATCATTACCCTGTCAACTGCAAGCCTCCATGCTCTTATTGTCTTCATTGCATTGCACTTCTCTACCATTTTGCAAAACAGCATGCTAGGAGCAGCAACTGATTCAGGGAAGCATCTGAGTTTCCTCTATGAACTCAGAAACTTTGGTTCAGCTCTAGACTAACATTTTATAATTGCAATTACAGAACTTTTAAAAGTTCCAAACAAAAAAAAATTTCAAACTACATAAGTATGGCAGTCTTCCCCAGCCATGAAAGTCTAGGTGAAATAAGCTGTGCAAGTTTTGCTTCCCGTCTCATCTAAAGACCCCACAAGAGTGTTATCGGTCATTACATTTTACCGGATGGTACATTTTGTTTACTGCGATCCCCTGAAAAATGTATTAACGGGGTTCCATTATACCTTCCTTTGGCCCAACAATGCAACCATGTTTTTAACTAAAACAAAAGAGGAGATGACTGAGATATAAGGAGGTACACGGAGCAGAACAAAATTTATTTATTATGTTTTCTGCATGATTAAGATAAAGTTATGGCACTCTGTTATCAGTAATTAAAATTATACAGATTATGACAAGGCTAGCACGAACATGCATGCGCTGGATTTTCCCATTTTTCTTGCAATCAAATATACCTATAGTAAGTTACAGCTCAAGAAGGTAGGATGAGGGAAAGGAAGGCAGGAAAGAAGCAGACGGAATGCTGGAGGGGAAAGGGGGAAACTTCCTCCTCTCTCCAGCATTCCGTCTGCTTCCCTTACCCTACCTTCTTGAGTTGCAATGGACTATAGGTGAGTCACCTGAAGCAGTAAACTTTGGCGTTAGTTACTGACCTCTATCAGTATAACATGAAAAGGCTTCAATGTTGTGTTCAAGTTTTGTCGTGCAGTGGCATATAACCAGTTGGGTTACACTTAGTTCATAATAGGTAGCTACGAATGACAGGCACAAAACACAGACTGGCACAGCTTCTACGCTGAATCACCTCACTAGTAAAATTGCACAACACTGCATTATTATTAGAAAATTATGATGAAGCACACCATGCTTTAAAGAGACATTAATTATTTAATATTAATACTTTATTTTTCTGGTAGTGTCCAAAAACAGCCATAAAGCCTTCTGATTGAAACACACTGAAAGAGTGTCCCAATAAGAGTGTTCCAATGGGAACACCCTGAAAACGAGTTGAAAGAGCATTGTAGTTGCACATGTACCAACTAAACTTCATACTGGATATTGGGGAACACAAAGGGACAGCTTCCTTTGAGTAGATTTTCTTTTTTAAGTGCCCAGATAAAATGAGACAAAGAAAAAACCAGAATCTGGTCAGGTGATGCCAACTACCCAAATGACCGAAAAAAATTTAAGAAACTTTTCACTGAAGCATATAATAGCCTCATGCAGTGCCTGATGAGCCTATTTTCATTTGTGTTAATTCGGGAACATAGCATTATTTTCACACAATACTTTTCCTAGGTCTAGCATACGAAGATGAAGTAAGATGCTTTTTTTTATCATCACGATTTAGTCAAGCGTAGTATTTTGTCATAGGCGGTAAATCAATTAACGGCCTCTTTTAAAGTTCTTTCAATGTGCAGACGTCTGAAAGCTCACCCGTGGAACAGTGGGACTGGTGAGTCAATGAACGCTGCAGCGGTCTTGGACTGTCACCAGCCTCGAAGCCCAAGTTGAGGGCACAGTACAGGGAGCACTGGCTGGAAGACGATGACGACGATGAACTGCTCACAGAGATGATGGAGTGGGGACGCTTGCTGCCTCCTCCTAGGCCCTCCCGCCCTAGATCCATGGCCAGGATTGGGCTTCTCAATCTTGGTGCAGCTGGAGGGCAAAAAGAAAGGCATAGCAACACTTCAGCACAGTCTCATGACAGGGCTGCTTTTTAGGTCCTAGTAAGATCCAAAAGCAAATTTCATAAAGGCTTTAACATGGAGCTTGTCACTGCCATAAGATGTTTTTGGGATTCCCTTAGCAAAAACATCAACCACAACATGGAAGTTTTCCCAACTCTGCTCGTCATCCATTCAGTCTGTGGATCTCATTTGTTGTGGCAGGTTTACTAGGCATTCAAATAAGTCATGAAGTCTTAGTGACAAAATTGTATTTCCACTGCCTTGTGGTAAAATTCACCTATTGAAGTTGCAATAAAAAATTCAATTCACTTCTGCCCATTCAAAAGAGAGAACTGGACAAAAATGTTGTTGTCTATGGGTTTTATATACTGCACCAACCTGGACCAAAAGTTTCATTCAACCAACAGTTAAATAGAACACCTGGTCCATCAATTCCAATCGAAATTCTTGGAGCTTTTCTCTTGTCAGACATCCACAGTTGCCTTTGTGGCTGAAATTGTCCACAGCTTTAGAAAATTTGTCGACATGTGTAAATATTTTAAACATCCAATGATTTGCAAATAGTGATTGCTATTTGATTTGCAAACGCTTTCACTGTACAAAGTAATGGAGTTTTTCAATTATACAAAAATTATAATGTTTTCAGAATTCTCGTTTCTCGCATCAAGCTTCACAGCATCGTACCAGAGCTTTGGCGTCAAGGTTCACCAATTCTCACTGGCACGCAAGCATCAAGCTTCACTGCTTTGCACTGATGTGCTAGGAGAAACAGCTGACATGTCAGAGCAGGCGCACATAGCCAGGATGTTGTTTCAGGGGGGGCCCACCCATGACAAAATGCTGTATGAGGGGGAGGGGGAGAGGAGGTCCCAGCAAAATGAAAGATTTCAAGGGTGGGGAAGGGGGGGGGGGGGCGGGTTCCCCCCCACCCTTGAAATGTTTCCGACGCGGAAACCTCCTCCACCTAAGGGGGTGACCCGCGGTGCCGAAAGCGTGCGATATGTGACATCTTTGGTCCTGGGCTTACTACTTGTCAGAGCCGCTAAAATCTTCTTTTTAGTCGAAATACAAAATATAAGTGGCGCAAGCCGTTTCAGTTATTTATAAAAGTAGTTTTTGTTCAGTATTTTAGATCAGAAAAGAAACAAATGCAGTTTATAAAGTACAAAAACAAGAAATGACCCGTCGACATACCCGCCACCAATCGGTGGAAAAGGCGGCACATACTAGAAAGGTATAGTGGGATCAGGCAGCAACGAGCGGCGAGCGTAAAAAGGCCCTGGATGTATGCGGCGGCGCTGCAGTCGAAGATCCAACTAGTTTCGAGCGTTCCAAAGGCCTTCGGCGAGCAGCTTGTTTGGCCCTTTGGCGGCATGGCAGCGCGAAGTGGCTCCTGTTCTGAACTGATCTTTACCCGGTGTTTGCTGTCGTTTGTGGCCAATGAAATGTCATGGCAAATTAGTGTTCAATCGCGCAGCAAATGCAATGCGAGCCACCCTGGCCGCCCGCTTCCCATACAGCCAATCCAGAACATGCTCTAGTGGCGCCCTCTCGAGCCGTCGACACGGAGTGCGGCAGCCGTGAGTACCGTATTTGCACGAATATAACGCGAGTTTTTTTTCGAAATTACGTGCTCCAAAACGCACCTCGCGTTATATTCGGAATCGAGTTCAGCCACGAGGCGCGCGAGTCTGGAGAAAGCCAGAGGAGAAAGTCATCCCTCCAGCTCAATGCAAAAGATCCAATGGAAAAAGAAGTGGGGGTGTGGAGGGGCATTTTCTAGCCATGGGGCCACGTGAAGGGGCGAATAGAAAACATAAAAAAGCATTTTTATCGCTATTGTGTTTTTACAACGCGCGCACGCCGCACGCGCGCGCGCCATGCGGGAATGCGGGCACCGGCCAATTCGAGCCAAGCCAAGCCGGGCCAAGTTAAGTCAACACAAGCCAAGACCACCGACCGCGTTTACGCAATCGTGCAACACGAGGCATTTGTTTACGAACAGGGATCAGAACAAGAAGTGTGATCGTGTATCGGGTTCAGCAGTCTTTTTTCTGCCTGCGCATTGTTTAGTTTCTGCTCCAGAGTGGTCTGGTGTTTGTGTGTTGGTGCTTCTGCTTCCGCGCCTTGTTTGGATTGTGGGCTGCCGAGGAGCTCCCACGGAAGAAAAAAGAACTACCAGACAAGCAGGTGCCGTGCTGCTGCATACCTGCGTAGTCGCCAAGTGGATTGTAAACGGAAGGACCTGAACAGTGAGGATGAGTGCAGTCAAAACATAAACTATATTTCTTCTATTTCCATTGACTTTTCACTTCTGCTATGCCCCCGAGTGCGAGAAATTGACGCGGCATCGGTTCGCGTTATAATAGTAATAATATTTTTTTTTCTTTTTGGGCGCATCAAAAACTGCCCCCGCGTTATATTCGTAGTCGCGTTATATTCGTGCAAATTACTCTCTGAGCTCACTACCCCTCCTCTAGTTCACGGCCACTCAAGCAATCAAGGACGTCATGAAGGAGGTTGCTTTGGCTTGTTTCTGTTCTTTTAATTTGCCTATAACTTTTGAAATAAAGCGAAATTCGAGAAAAGTTTAATTAAGTTACTATGTTCAGTGTGCTCAGGTTCGGTGCAAATTAAAAACCAGTAAAAAAAGCCCTTGCAGGGCCCTTTTAATACAAGGCAGTGAAATGTATTTTTCTATAACAAAACTGCTCCTTTTCATAGGTATGCTTTCTAGAACAGCTGTGATTCCTTGAAGTATCTATGTTCAAGCCACATTTTATGTAAAGTGTTTATGGTTTAAAATATTCAAATTTGATTTACAGTCAAATTTTAATATTCATATTTGATTTTCAGTTAAAAACACTTCATTCGCACAACACCAAAATATTGATATACATCTAGCATAAACAAAAAAAGTTGTGAAAATGTCATACTTCTACTCAGCTGCTGGTAGGTGATGGAGCGGTCGTTGATCTGGTCACTGCTGGGACGAATATCAAGGCAAGGCTTGTTCCCAATGCCCATTGACGACATCTCTGCAAGGCGCATCTCTGAAAGGGGACAGCAGTAGGTAGATTAAAATCCCATATCTCAGCGAACCAATAAAGAGAATCTGAAACCAAAGAAAACAAACCTCGGTTTCTCAGTGCCTGCTTCCAAAGTAACTTGGAGATGTCGTGGACCCAGGCACGCTTGACTTCAGGACTGGGGGCTTGCAGCAGGTACACATCGTTCAACTTGCGCTTCCGAAACCAGATCTCAAACTTTGTGGGGCTCTCTCCAACTTGCTCCGTGAGACCGATGTCCGTTGTCTGAAACCAGGCATGTCAAGACAGAAATTGGGACAGGCAAAATAGGAATAGAGAGCAAACAACAGAAATAGCACAACATCTGGTCTGTCATCACTATTCTTCATACTACAAGCAAAAAAAGATTGGTCGATCTTCTTGCAGGAAAATTTGAAGAATGCAATTCACTTTCTCTTCTAGGCAAACATGCTGGCTTTCCTCACCAAACAACTGCATTCTTCGTCAAGGTTACCATCAAATACTTGGTATTTATTAATAACGGTGCCCCTATCATACAGAATAGAAGACTCCGAACACCTAAGACCAAGGGTCTGCCTCCATTTCCGTAAACCACTGTTTCAATCGTGTAGTTCCAAGGGTTTTCCTTAGTCGACAGTGTCAACAAGAAGACTGATGTACACTGCACAGACACGAGAACTGGGTGCAAGAGAAACCCCCACCTTGATGCTGTGTTTGTACTGGTAGATGTCGTGGCCTTTGTGTTCGGGGTCCCCCCTGACTTTGCTGAACAGGATGAGGTCCTCGAACAGGAATACATGGCGCAGCGACTTGCGGGATCTCCCCTGCAGCACTAGAAATTCGTCCTGGCGAAGGAGACGGCCTTGCTCCTTTACATTCACCTGTGGAACAAAATGACAAGTGCCGTAAAAAGCAGTACATTAGCTCTTTCCTGACCACACCCATAGGCCATTGATCACCGGTGTTCGATGGTTTTCAAGCACCGTAACGAAATTAAAGTTAGTGCAGAGAATTCTGTTCCACAATCTCGTGGATGATAGCCAAAAACTATAGTTTCGGTTTCAATGTAGGTTTGAGCTTTATCACAACCAGGTGGGCTGTCAAAAATAGCCCTGGGAATGGTGGTTGCACTTGTCTAACGGCTTGCATCAGTCTTCGTAACAAAGATGGCATTATTTAAATAATTAAACTATATTTTGGCATATGTTTTAGACCTCAAAAGGTCTGGGAACAATTTAAAGGATGTTATAGGCGTCGTTTAACAGATGGTTGTTGGTAAGCCTCACTATAATTTCCAATGCTGTCCTGAGCCAGCGTGCATGTTTTATGTTCCCAACAAGGTGGACAAAATGTTATATGACAAAACCAAGGTTAAACACAAAAAAAGCATTCTGCTAGGGATGTCAAATTTGGGGGTTTTATGTGCCAAAACAACGGCGGGCATCTGGCACGCCCCAGCGGAGGACTGAGGATTAATTTCGACCACCTGGGGGGATCTTTTGATGTGCAACCGAAAGCTCGGTTACACGGCGTCTTCTCCGCAATAAGCCTCCGTCAGATTGCGGGCACCTCGGCCGGGATTCGAGCATCTGCTAGGGATGTAAAGTGCACTATCTGTGTTTCACCAATATAAGTATTCCTTCATTGAAAAGCACACGTGTGGCTAACTCTCCGACGAACTAAAAATAGACAACGTTGAGTATACTATAGCTTTCAGAAGTAATAGCCGTGGGTGTGGGGCACATTTGTTATGTTCTGAATTTTTCTTTTAATTGTTGTTTGATTCTACATAACTGTCGAAGTTTCAGCGTTTATACGCCTTCCGCACATACATTGTATTTTCAAGAAATAAACTTTAAAAATCCTTTTTTTTCCTACTTGTATCAACCTTAGTTGTTTTCTTTTTTTAAACCACTAAATTAATACATTTTGAGGTGTCATATTTCTCCATACATAAATTAGTTAGGGAAAATAAAAGCGTTTGCACAGATGCTTTAAAAATTGCTACTTTTCCCGTGGTCAGGAAACAGTTAAAAACATTGAACCACTGAAGGATGTGTGGTACTCAGGCCAAATGATAAAGCTTGCTGTATTTTACGAAGAGTCGTGCTTCCATGTCTAGTACCGTATTTACTCGAGTAATAGCTGCACGATTTATGAATGAGGCCCTTGCGTCTGCTTTCTCGCAGAGCACATATACAGCCAATCATCGCGTTGCGCAAAAATAACATAGCGAATAATTAGATCGAGAACACAATTCCCCATACAAATGCAAGCTTCAAAGCTGCACAGATATCTTTGCGCGGAGGCGTTATCTCTGTCCTGTAAACCGCTGGAATCATGCTGCCGATTGCGCTGATTGGCAAGCCGCATGCCTCGCGGTAAAGCGAACCCTCCGGTTTTCTTCATAAACAGTGCGGCTATTACTCGAGTAAATACGGTATTTACCAAACAACACTATTCTTAATACAACCCGAAAGTTTAGTACAAAAGGTAAACATTAGAAGCAGTGTGCTACATTTTATGGGCCAGAAAAAGAATATTGATCATTATTTATTATCTTTGCTCATGTAACACTGCAACATCATTGTAAACATTGAGTGATGTTTGTAACACTAATACAAACAAAAAAAGTGTTAGCAACTATGAACACTTTTCTTCCCCAAAACATTTTTCTTAATATTTTCACTTTCTTTCCACTGATGAACAGCATACAACTAAAACAATGAAATAGTTTCCAAAACATTGGTTCTGTCAACTTTTCGTATAGCCTTGAACTAACTAAAATAAACACAGAGCGCAAGAAGCATTAAAAACCTCGGACAAGAAAAAGAAGAAAAGGGGCTATCACAGACTTTCCTCATTTTGCTTGTCTCAGGTACAGAGAGTAGTAATCCCACTCAAAGTTAGAAGTTCTCTTACGTCACACTCTCGCAGGGCGTCCATGCCAAGGAGGTCATTGCCGTGACGCAGCTGGAAGCGCACCATCTCTTCAGCAGCCTGCAAAGTGCATGGCACAGTTTCAGAGTGCTGCTCTAGACAGTATAAACTTGGGTAGAACTTAGTTAATAAGTTACTGGTTGGTTTCTTTTCCCCAGTTGTTACGCTCACCAACGTTGGTGCCACTAAACTACAACAGGGATATGCATATTAAGTTCCCATTAGTTGCATTTGTATTCCTGGTTGTTACGCCCAAGGACTGCCACCCGATGCAACGCATAGGGCTTCCTGGTTGCCCTTTTTCTTTTGCTCCGTTCCCCACCTTTTTTACCCCTTTGCCCCTCTGCTTCTTGGCCAGGCAGGCATGACCTTGGACTAGGCCTCCACGTCTCTCGCAGGTGTGCACTTCTGTTATGATCGGTTCTCCTGGCCCCGCTAGTTTCACTTCAGAATTTCTGCCGATGGGCGATTATGGCACCGCAGAACAGGCTCTCACTTTGAAGGAGAAGTTCATACAAAAGTTTATTTCAGAGTGTCTCTGGTGACCCTAGCTAAAACTCGCTTATCAACCTTGCTTGCCACATACAGTCCAAATATCCAGATGACACAACCAGCAATGAGCTAGAAATTACAAGGAAAGGGAGATGCTTCGTAAAACGGTTAGAGAGTGGCTGCTGTGATAAAGCCGAGCTGCAGACTCCTACTCCCGATAAAATAAAATCACACGACTCTAATATTTTGTCAACCCCGAACACGTGCCTCCACACCACGGAAGCACGTGCACTGCAATGCTCTCATCAAGCTCCACAGCTTTGCACTAACGCGCGCGAGAAAGCTCGACTGCTTTGCTTTGGTGCGCACGTCGAGCTCCAGGGCTTCGCACCGGTGTGCTAGGAGCAGCAATTAATGCAGGGAAGCACCTGGGTTAGCTTGGTGGGCTCAGACATTTTGCACACTCCATAGGTCAACCACATCCTTTGCTCACAATTATAGGTCGACCCCCAATTCGAAAGGACTGTGCTGAAACAAAAAAATAGGTCCCCCTATATTGGAATGAATACAAAAGTTCTCCGCAGCTTTGAAGCTTGTTCCTAGTGCCAAGCTGTAATGCAAAGTTTTCTTCCAAACATGGTGCCTGTAGCAGTAACTATAGTCGCTGACAACGGAAGAACTGCAGGGTGTGACTTATTGTGTTTGCACCTCTAGCTTCGCGATTCGTTCTCTAGCGTTCTTATTGGCCAACGCCGCAATCCCATTGGCCGAAGAGAGATAATAAGACGCTCAGGTCTCGCCACGCCCTGTATTTCGGTCAGTGATTGTAACCAGAGATCTCGAGAGCCACATGTGGCAAAGGAGACAAAGCTCTGCTTACCTTAAGGTCTGCATGTTCTGGCTCCCTCTCTGGACACTCTTTAAGGATCTGTTTCAGCAGGAGGGCATATTTGCCCATTCGCTGAACAGGCTTGAGCAGGTAACTTGCGAGGTCCATCTTGTCACCGAGCTCCAGTTGCTTTTCCTGAAATTGTAAGAGTGCAAAGCGTCCCTATCTCGACCAGATGGGGTACATCCCTGGACGAAATACATTTTTAAACCTAGGCGAACAGCCTGCCAGGCGTAAACATAATTAGTTGCCAAAAAAACAAAACTTACCTTGAAAAACGCATTGCCGTACTCGGACATGAGTGCATCAGACTTTGGCTTGTTCTTGTTGTAGAGGGCATAGAGGTAAAACTGGGGCTCCTGCAAAACATTTTGGGAAAGAATAGGCACTCCAATTCTGTCAGTGATCATTTTTCTTTCTGTATATGTAACTAAAACCATTCATGGTTAACAAGACCTTAGAAGTATTAAAAATTAGTCCATTCATCATACTACATGTGCAAAGGAGATAAGGTAAGCAAAGGAGACTACCATACTGCAAGAATGTGAACAGAACAGATACCACTTATGAGGATTCCTATACACTACACCACTTATGAGGATTCCTATAACACTATACCACTAATGAGTATTCTTATTTCTATTACACCTTGGATTGTCCTTTTTAACCGAGCTCTAGTTGTAATAGAAGACAGCAGTCCTTTTCCAGTCAAATCTGTAGTACTTCCAAGAGTGCCAAAACCAAAATTACTGTATTTACTCAAATGTAACGAGAGTTTTTTTCAAAATTTCCCTCACCTAATTTGGGGGTTTGCGTTATAATTGAAACACCTCAAAATTTGCCTTGGCGGTGTCGCGGCACAGGCTCTTTAAAATGGCTACGACAAATCTCGCGAACTTTCAATCTTGCGCTGGCAACACATACACGCTGGCAAGCCAATCCAATCTTATTCTTGTTTGCGACTCGTTGTGCCCATGTTAGGGTTAGCTTACCCATGTGCCCGAGCACGACCGAGTCCCCGAGTTTCGCGGGCTGCTGCGTCGTGCTTCTGCGACTGGACTCGAGCAAATGAACGCCACGAGCTCAGTACGACGCCCGCTTTAGAAGAAGTGCAATTCTGATGGCTGAGGAAATCGGAAACTCTGCCGCGGCTCGACGGCTAGATGAGACAGAATCGACTATCCGTGGGTGGAGGCTCCAGTGTGAAGCGCTCTTCAAGTGTAAGCCCGGCCGAAAAGGTTTCCACAGACCTCGTTGTGGCCGTCACCGATGGCGAAAGTGACGAGTAAACTCATTTTATTTTTAGAAACTGCAGGTGTTGGCCACTATGTGCAACAATTAAAGGTACTTTTTTCCCCTCACTTTACTCGCCTTACATTCGTGTTCTTTTTTTCTTTTTTGGCACTATGAAAAGTCACCCCTCGCATTACATTAGAGTAAATACAACACACCATCCCAAGAAAAAAAAAGAAAAATGGCGTGAAACAAAATGGGGTTTATATTTTAAGTTTTTCATCTGCTTGAAGTTCTAGTTCAACTTGGCAATAACTTACGTTAATACCATAAAAAAAAAAAAAAATTTAACAAATAGAATGCTTGGATCAAGAAAAGGCAAAAAGAGCCCCTTACATATTGCAGGAAGCACTGTCCAACAAGGAATGGGCAGGATTCGCATTGCTCCAGCTGCTGTAGGAAGTAGAGGCTGTGAAACTCAAAAATCTTCTCAATGTTCCCAAAGACCACATTGCGCTGCCCGCGCAAGGCCTGTGGTATGTCCTCTCGCAGCAACTCCGGAATGTAGCTCTATTTGAGAAAGCAAATGGGTAACCACAAAGACAATGGTTAACACTTGAGGATTAGACAAATCCTAGCCAGCCATTTAGTACTTCTAAACATCCACACAGATTGTTGCATGCCTAAAGGGCAGAAAAAATGAAGGAAGGCTTACCTCAATGATATATTCTAATGACTTGACATAATCTCTTTCAGTTTGTACCATTTCACGCATGATGAGCAGCAGCGTCCTGAAACAAGAATGCCATTGTTGATGGGAAGTCTTCGACAACTCAACTTATAGTACAAAGCCTCAATGACCGGTGATCTCTTGAAAAATGAAAAAGTATCAGCCAAAAACAGATTTGCATACTAGGAACCAAACGAGAGCACTAGAGGTGTAGAAATAATTGAAGATCGAATGAAAGCAACGAGTGTTAAACCTGGAAGCATGAAGCCAATGAGAAATACGATTTATTTTTGAGTCCAGAACATGCCATCTTGCTCATTAAGGAACACACAGAAGCCAAATTAGCATGCCTGAAGTTTGTGAACTCCATACCAGAAGAAAGCATGCCTCACAAGCTGGGCTTAGAGAGCCTCTGTAAAGGCCATGCATTGCATAAATGCAACGTGGAAGATGCAGTGTAGTTAAACAAAGCGGGAAGGGAAGGGGAGGGGGCCTGAAGATGGCTCAGAAAACTCTGCGAGACTAACTTCCGATTCCTCAGCTGTTCCTCGCTGAAATTTGCGTCGCTGACTGCCGAATCCGCAAGCTGGAGTGCCGACGCTCGGGTCAAGAGGTGGCTGTTGACAGGAACAGGCACCCGACTCGAACGATTAGAGTCCGGTGTCTGAGCTTCCCCCTTGGCTTGTTCCGACTCCGGGGAAGTCAGTTCCTCTGACTCGGGAGAGCTAATGGAACTTTGAAAAGGTGCAAAGGAGGGGGACAAAAAAAAAAAAATGTACTCTTTAAAACCAAATTATAGGCAACTCCTGTCTCTAGCACTAAAGGCCCTCGCTGCAGTGAAAATTAAGTCGGTACGCCGGTTTCAAAGACTCACCTTGCCAAGCCATCACTGCCTTCTAGGTCGCCAAGACCTGCAGTGGGGCGGTCCAAGGCCAAGCGCTCATTCTGGGCACGCACTCGCTCGCTGACTTTACTGAGTGCCTCCTCACACAGTTGCCACGTGTAGCTGCGCCTCATGAGTTTACGCTGTGGCCGGCACTGGTGGCCTTCCTTGTGCAGGGAGTTGCGCACTTTCTCCCGGAGTGCGCTCAGACCAGCGGCCCGTGTTCCCGCTGTACCAGCAGCTCCGCCCTCTTTGCTCCGAGCCTCCAGAAAGCTCCGCGAGATGGAGGTAACGGGGCCCCTGAAATGTAGCGTCGTTACTCAGTGTTAAACTCCATCTGGGAGGATTTTAGTACTTTGCCAATAAGCAAATTCAATAAATGTTAAAGAAATCAGTGATGTGATTGGTCCGAGTAATTATGGGCCACCTTTTGGAGCAGCCGAAAGTATGTTTTGGAGCGGCAAAAAGAACTTTTGGCATTAAGCTCACATAATTTTCGCTCTTACCACTGCAAATATTATATGTTAAGATTCATGTGCTGGTTTCCCCAACTGAAAGATGGATGTCTTCTTTGCCTTCCAACTTCTGTGCAACCTTTCATTAGCAACAATTGCACGGCAGATTCAATTCCCTCACACACAGAACTATCTTTTTGCTTGCATGTAGAAGCACCAGGCACGGCAACAATATGTTGGTTGACGAAAAACAGCATGAACTGCTGTAAATGGTTACTTTAGGTGCAGAGTCAAATAGAACCCAAAGAGTATATTCCGCTGAAATAATATTACAAATATAATTTCGAAGATCAAATTGAGGTTTCCTTTAGGTTCTAAAGGTTGTATGAAAACTACAGTTCTTAATTTGGATAGAAAACAATGCTTTTGTCATGAACTTCATGATGACGAAAATTGGTATATGAGCAATAAATGTGCCTTCTTAAAACCTATCCAACCAAACTCATTGAGTACTCTCAAGTTTCCATCCACTGCTTCGGCTAATTTAGTTTTCATTTACTCTATTCATCGTGCTATCGCACAGATGGAACATATATAAAGGAACATATGTAAATAAGAGAATGAACAAAAAATATACCTATAGAGCAGATCATATAAATCTTCTTGCAATACCTTAATCACAAATTTGAAAGAAAAAAAATTATCAGAATATTGCAGTTTATGACATTTCAGAAATTTTTACTGCAAGGTAGAATTGTTACATCAACACTCACCTAGTTCTTTATTATTATTATTATTATACCCAGCACCTGCATGGCAACATCCCACTCTGTAGGAGTTCTTTCCCTTAGCACGCGGGTGTGCTGTGGTGAAGCAAGATATGCAAAATGGCAACGCTTACTCCGCGGCGTTCGCTTCACTGCACTGCTGCACTGCATCGGTGCACGGTGAGAAGCACGCTCAACGAAGCTAACTAGCCTCACCGAATAGACCATGAACATGAGAAATATGGTGAGATTTTAGAGTACTGTCAGTGTTTCATACAGGGATGAAGTCGAGTAGTATGTTATTTCAATGAATAATCAAGTTCTGAAAATTTGCACAAGCCTACCATGTAATTATCTACTTGTGCGGCGGGGCCTAATGCAATTATATTTTCGGTATAATAAAGTGAAATTACGCTTCCGTGCAATGTTGGCACAAATGCATCACATCTTGACAAAATGTAGCAGGGTAAACACTTTGGTGCAGATTGGCACAGTGACCGCACCAAGGAATGGGTGCAGTCCATAATCAATTTCAAGAAGAGATACCAAAATAAAGTATTTATAGTTGTGAACACTATTTCTTGCACCTTAGACAGCATTGGACATAACATCTGTAACCCTTGAAGTTAGCAGATTTCAGCTAACATCAGATAGCTTACTCGTGGCAAAACCTTGGAGTCTCCCTTAGCAAATTTGCCAGTTTATTACATATGAAAAATTTAAGTGTAATGTTCAATATTATGTTTTCTAGGCAATCCCATTCTCTTATTAAAGTGTGCTTAAAAAAAAAACCTGTATGAACTCAGTGGAGCAAATTTGATTAAATTTGCTCTAATAAGAAAATTAAATATTCTAATTAGACAAAAAAAGTGGGGCTGGGAAATTGATCAATTAACCTACTGATTATCAATATTATTTTTTTAACCAGTTAATCAGTAAAATTTTGATGAACCAAAAGTAATAATTACACGCTCTCACCACGCAGACGTGGACTAGTACACATGCATGAAGGGCAAACTTTAGGTCAAATTTTAGTCAAAAGTAAACTGTAAGGGCAAGATTTGTAACTCCTGGCAAGTGCAGAAGGTTACACGTGTCCCAGCCACTTCAATGCCGTTAGGGTGTCCGTTTAGCACAGCAGAGACTATTGTGAATAATCAAAGTAGCTCGCTCTTGCCGGAGAACATCAACAAACTTCTTCGCCTCATGCAGCTGAATATTAATAGTCTGTGAGCGCGAGTGTCTTTCAGCTGTTCTTAATGACTTATACGACGTTGATTCATCATCAAAATTCTATATTGCGCCGTTTATCACATCCATATTCAGCAATGGCAGAAAATATATTATTTTTGACTTTTTTAAAGTATTATGCATGAAAATGAACAAGACCGATTAATTAATCGATTAAATTATGGTGACTAATCAGGTTAAAACTTTTACTCAATGCCCAGCCCTAAGAGAAAAAAAAAGGAGGCCGCATCTCCACGTGGTGAATGATGTTGATTGGGGCGAAGCTCTGGTAGTGCTGATGATACTGATTTTCTTTTTCATAGGTAGTGCTGATGGTGCTGATATTCTTTTATTGCTTGTAGGTAGTGCTGAGTTCCGGGTTGCGTTTCGACTTCATTATTATTGCTTTATGGTCGGTGAAATGCAGAGCCAGTGGTTCTTCTAGCGGATCAGCTTGGATCCGCTAGAAGCCGTGGGAACGCATCTCCACCACTTAAGTCAACGGTACATGTCAGAAAGAGAATGTGTGGTATGGATCGTGGTTATATACGCATTTCAGCCTTTGACCGCAGCGCCCTCTCGTCTATAAACGTTGAGCCAATGCATGCAAAGTTTAATGTGATTAAATACGCATTTAACAGCAGCGCCCTGTCCTGTATAGACGTTGAGCGGCTACATGCAACGTTGGAGTGTAGCGTAGTGGTTAAGACGTCTGCCTCTTAAGCAAGCGGTCCCGAGTTCGAACCCCCGTGCGGGCGTACGTTTTTCTTTTAAAAGTGGGTCGATCCCGGAGGTAGTGCAAATGATATGAGCACGGACGCCGGACGGATGGATGGACAAGGCTAGACCCTAAGGAGCTTCGCCCCTAAAAAGGCTTTAAATAATGCTTTCACTGTTGTGGATGAGGCTCATACTATTACAAAACATTTTCTAGAAGCCCAGCCCTACACTGAGAACAGTGACAGATTCAAAATCAAGGAAAGAATTCTAATTGAGCTTCGAATATTCTTAAAGTAGGGAGTTTCACATGTTGGTAAGCAGATGACAATATAAAGCCCACTTAAACCCATAGCACTGCATATAACTAAAAATAATATCTCTAAAATTAATCCTAAAATAAAAGGTTTACGAGGGGAAAAAAAGACTAGTGAGGAACAAACATTGGAAGCAGCACCTCACATACAGTACATAACTGCAGAAGCTCTACTTCAAAGATACCGATTCTTGACCTGCAAACAGTGCCGCAGGCTAAATGCACCTTCTATTCTGCGCACACATATGAGCAAACAAACACACCTTCGTGTGAGGTCATCCGTGATGAGGCCCTGGCTCAGGAGCTGCTCCTCCTTCTCCTGAATGTACTGCTCCAGCGCCAAGGAGTCCTGAACGACCGAGGTGCCACCCATTCCCGAACCGGCACCGGTACCCGGGAAAGCAGTGTAGGAATTCATTGGTGGAGGAGTTGAGTAAAGGTGCGGCTGGGTGGTTGCAATGGATCTCCGCCGCACGAAGGAACAGTACGGCGTGCTGGAAGAGGAGGGAGACCAGCTGTTCTGCTGGAACAGCGTGCGTGACTCCATCGGCCCGTGGCTGGACCGGAAGGTTCCAGAAGGTACCGGGGACTTGCGGCCTTCCAACTCCAGCTGGTGGCGCGCACGTGCGAGCGTTGCATGACGAGCTTCCATCAACTCCACGGTCTCTCGGCACCGTGCTTGCGCCGTCTGCAAATTTGTATGAGCAATGCTCTTGGTAAATGAGGCAACTGGTGCCTCTCCGGCATCTCCATAGATTCCTCAGAGCAACACACACCAAGAAACTGATCGAACTGAATGCACCTGGCTCAATATGTCTGTTGTGCTGTATGCACCCTGTGTGTACAAGTAATAAAAAGAGCTGCACAGATTCAAAGTGCACCATGCATGATCGGAAGTAGCGAAGTCCTGCTACTGTACTGGGAGAATATGGTATAGAGCGAAGGTTGCAAGTCAGCTGGTCACACAATTAAGCGGGGACATTACCCAGAAAAAAAAAGAAATTCGGCAAAAAAAGTTGCTTTTGAAAAATGCCATATTTACATTCACCGACATCTAGAGAGTATTCTCAGAAAGTTTCATTTGTATACACTACATAGTTATTTTTTTATAAATTAGTTTCAGTTCACTGATGCTAAAGAAAAGGTCGATATTCAAGCCCTTGGAATGTGCTTCTTTCCGTTCCACTTTTTGGCATAAATTTCACCTTACAGTCCAATGTACACTGCGCTTTCCACTTCTGCCCGCCTTCTCCTTTTCTACATGCTCTCCACTTTTTACCTTTCCCCAACTTGGTTCCCCTCGCAGCTTAGGAGAGAAGAGCGCTAAGAGGATTATGTTCCCTGCAGAAAACTGAGGATGTATGTCGCCCTTAAATAGAACTATTGTTTCAGTATGACACTTTGGAGAGACTTAAAAGTTGAGACTTACATGCCGAAATTTTATGGAGCCGTTTATTATGAACTTAGAGTTTGCATTTCAATGTTCCTTTATTATGAAAAATTGTAATTTGCAAAAAACAAAAGAAAACAAATTTCATACTTTTTTTTTTTACCTGAAAAATGCACATTTTCTTAAATTTATTTTCATAGTAACCGGCAAAAGGTATTCCAGTATGCATTTCACCAGAAAAATATGTGGTTATCAACACCATTTCTCATTGACAGATTCATTGAACACATTCCACGCAAAGCTATGCTCTACTTTGTTCTGGGGGTATAGTACCTCACAAAATTGGTTCACAGGGCTGAAACTTAGCACACCCTCCTTGGCTACAAAACACCACCTGCAATTTTCAAGCCGATTGTGTGAGCGGTTCAAAAGTTGACATTCCGAGATAGTGTCCCCCATTTAAGCCCTAGAAAGTGGTACGTCAGTGCACATACCTTTTCTTTTTCTTCAACTATGCTTTATGGTAGTATTTTTCTCATTGAGAGAAAGCTACGTGCAATTGCAGATATCTAATCTACAGCATGTCAAATTTGCAGCATGGGTTTAGCAGCCTTTTCATTCTTTTTCTTCTTGGATGCACTGGCAACCTCAAGCTTCATGTGCACAGGAACAACTCACTGTACAATTCATATTCAATCTGATGAAAACAAAATAGCTGCTCTGCAACTTGTTGGAAATTTCTGACAGATACACATACCAGCTCCCACTTGCCATGGCCATTAAGTAAGGGTTCAATGAATGAGCATAAACAACCAGCAACTTTTCAGTGACGCTTTGGAATAAGCAAAGGAAGCGCGAACCTTGCACTGTTCCAAGAGCTTGGGGTTGTCCAGCTTGGAGGCTAGGTCGAGCATTTCGTGGAAACTCTGCTCTGAGAGTGCAGGGTGCTCCTCCTGGTACTCCTGAAGCAGCCGCATCAATTGACCCAAGCTCTCGGGAGTGGAGGCATCATTCATCTTCATGCTTGACACAAACTTCATGGCGTCCAAAGCCCACTCGTAGCTCTGGGGTTGACGGAAGCAAAGGGATTGACATGCAATAAGGACAGAGCCAAGAAGGGTTAAGTGGATACAACGGTACAACACAGAGTGGCTGCTTCTTCAATCAGGCGAAATGAATTTCAGAAGATAAATCCATTTCATGAAGCTGTGGGATGTGAGCAGTGAAGCGCCCAGTCTCCATAACAATTAGGGGAGAGTCGGGAGGAATGGGACGCTTTTCACAAATGCATTTTAGTTTTGTTTATTATGAACGCAAAAAAGATGGTTGATGGATTATAGTACAAGTCGAAACAAGCTGCGCAAATTCTGCGAAACACAGGTTACTGCCACTTCTAGAGCAACTGCAAAAAAATAGTTTCTAACAGCTAAAATCTGTCCCATTCCACCCGTCCCTTCGGGTGGAGTGGGACATCCTTTGGGAGGAATGGGACGCCAGTAAAATATCGGTCCCAACGTCTTCAGCGGACATTAAAAGCCGATAGTTCCACATCAAACTTGAAGCAAGCTTGCAGGCGCTTCGTTCCCCCAATAGTTTTTGGCGCTGGCAGCTTCTTCACAATATCCGTTATTGGCACAGTCCCTATATCTTCCTGCGGAGGAAAGTAAAACTTTGAGCTCTCTTCTTTCTTTCGAAGGAACTGGACACTGACGTCAGTATTGTCACTACTTTCGACTCTACCCGTGTAATAAACGTCAGATTTTTTCTTACCAAATCTGACAAGGACAAAATCGCCTTTTGTCACTTGAAAAGTTTTGTTTGGGCAATCGGCCTCAGAAATGTCCCGCCTCTCATTATCGGAACCCGACATGTCACTGTCTGAATCATCAAATGCAACGACAACAGTGTCGTCTTCAATTGAAGAACTGAACTCCTTCTGAAGTCGCCGTTTCTTTTTTGGGCGGGTAGTGGCGACAGTCTTAGCTGTGATAAGCGCTCTTTTTTTCAGACTCTGTCGTGCCAGCCTCTCTGCAGCTTCTTGTTCAATCGCATGCTTCTCGGGTGTATCCGTAAGGACTTTTGTCCTACCTTTCTTCCTTCCTTTTTGCCCTGTCTTACGCGGTGCAGCCTTAGGGTAGGGCCTAAGGTCGCTCGGAACAATCCGGCTGGGAGATGCAGTTGACGTCGAGGCTGCGTTGGCGACAGTAGGTGGGAAGACATCTGTAGAGACGTTGCAAGCTCCATGGCCGTTTGTCTCAAAGTTCAAATCACTTTCCAGTCGGCTTGCGCTGTCCGTTTTCTCGGTGATGGTGGCCGTCTGTCGTGACACTTCTCCGCTTACGGACGTTAAGGGTCTGTCAGTGACTGATGACATCATGTAGTCATCCGAAGTGAAGGGCTCGCTATTGAAAGGCCAAATTCCAGTTTTCTGAAAGCCCGAGATTATGTTCTTTTGTGTCACCGTTAATACGTAGGCGGATCCAACTAGTTGTGCAACATTGTGGATGGAGATGGTCTTCCCGGGGTTATTTATGAGCCAATCATTGCAAGCAGCGTTGTACCGAGATTTAAATGGTCCGTACACGGACACATCAAGTGGCTGCAGGCGGTGGCTACAGTGTGGGGGAAAGGTCAGCAGGATGACTCCGCTCTCTTTGGCCTTGTTGATGGTGTTGATGCTCACATGGCTTTCATGATTGTCGAGTATCAAGAGAATTGGCTCCTCCTTCGAGCACTTCGTATGCCTCACAGTGTGCTCTAACGCCAGCAAAAACAGTTCGCTCGACATCCAGCCCGACTTGCTTGCCAAACCGAGGCTTCCTGCCGGGGCGCCTTTCAGAAAAAAATCTTTAAACCTCACGCGTGGGAAAATGAACACTGGTGGCAGGGCGTTTCCGATGGCATTGACAGTGCACAAAACAGTCACCAGTTCGCCGCGTTCTGCGGATGTAACCTGACCGATTTGCTTTTCTCCACGTGCTGCTACTACCTTTGGTGGGTTGTGTGCAGTTGTGAAGCCCGTTTCATCACAATTGTAGATGCGGTCCGGAGTTAGCTTGTATCGGTCGTAGACACTTTTCAGGTTTGAAAGGAAAGCATCGACGTTGTTCTTATTGAAGCTTGTTGCCCGACCCAGACTGGTCGCTTCTGGCGATCGAAGCGATAGCTTGGGATGGCGGTCCATAAAGCCCATAAACCAGTCTCTTCCAGCTACCTTCTTCTGTTCCCATGACGCCGGGCACTTCCTCTTTAAGGCTGTTGCAAACTCGTACGCCAGTGAACGAACTTGCATTCTCGTAAGCCCATAATGCATTTTGCTTGCTTTCAGCAAATATTCTTTCAAGAGTACTTCATCTTCTGTTGTGAAGACCATTCCGCAGACCAAATTGGACTTGAACATGATGCCACCTGTGTCACCGCATTCTCTGTACTTCTTCACTGCTCGGCCAAGCGATGATTTTGATATTTCAAAAGCTTCTGCTACGTCTCTTATACTTTTCTTTTCATCGCACACCAATCTCACAGCATCCAGGATCAAATTGTTCGATGTTTGAGCTCTGTCGGGATGCTTCCTCTTGTAAACCCGCGGCATCTTCCTGAAAATGAAAATGGATCAAAAATTGGCAAATTTAAATATTCACGCACACCAAGCACGCTTAACGTCCTTGCATGCACGTAGCAGCACTCATATTGCTGCCTATTATTCACGTGCTTATTCCGGGTTTCTCGCAAATGTGTACAGTAATCACACCTTTCTAGTGGAGAAACATTGCATTTTATGATGCCCCGTTGGTTTAGCGCGTCTTAACGTCAAGTGTCGCAGAAACAGCCTGTATGTTATTTAACATCACGGCACCAAGCATTTGTACACTATAAATAACAAATAAAAAAATAACTGCTTTCGGAACTAAAGCGGCGCAGCGTTGAAGCTTATTCGCTAGACACAGCACCAGCCGTATGGTGGGGAGGAATGGGACACTGTCCCATTTCACCCGCGACTCAAATGTCCCATTCCTCCCCAGGTGGTTCGCCCAACGAAAAATACATTCAATGGCGCAAATTCTCTTGTTAGGGCTAAACTTGTTATTGCATGAAGCACGACCCTAACGCGTGTTTTCGAAGAAAAATTGGTATCAGCATAGGCAGGGTGGTTTAAAACTGAGAGAGGTGTAATTGAGTAAGCGGATACTTACTTTTGACACGTGAAAAACGAAAGTTGTAGTCAGAGAAAGCTTCGTCCGGTGAAGACGGCCACCATTACAGCCAGGCTATCGGTATGCTAGCGCCACCTCGTGAGCAGCCGATGAACGTGTTTGAACTAACTCCTGGAGAGATAAACGAGCTGTCCCATTCCTCCAACCGTCCCATACCTCCCGACTCTCCCCTATGCATCGTCCAAGAGTCTGGAGGGTATGTAGAAGGGTATGCAGCTTACACAGGAGAACTGAAGTTGCTATTCCGCTGGAACTTGTGTTCTGGATAAAAATTGTTCTTCACTAGTAACCTCCGAACAACCAAAATTGTCTGAAATTTAAATTCCATCTATTTTCCTATAATATGAAAAGCTGCACACGCATATCCAAGCTTGCCCACAGACTAAACTTAGCCGACATTGACAGGCAATGTCAAAACCATTCAAATATAGTGCTCCATAATAAAGAAAATAAAAAAAGCATGGAAAATTATAAGAATCTTTTATAACATCCATATATATGGTCTAAAATATAATAGTACTGGTCATTTTGATATGGCATCCTCTATTAATTCAGGAATGAGTTCCTAGAGGAAACAGTAATAAAAACATGTAAACAAGTTTTTACTTCCTTATAAGGAATTGGACATTTCCTCTTAACAAGCAGTTCTTTCTAAGAATGAACATGATCAGTGTTTGCATAGTTGACTAAAAATTATTCAAATATAATTTGTTATCCGACTGGTTTGAGCAGGAGGCAGAGGAAATGTTGGGATAAACTGGACATTTTGATTATACCATTACATGGAATGGGGCACAAAAACTGCCGACATCTAATTGCAGATGCAGTGATGGAAGTGGCATTTCACATTTGTAGCAGGTTTTGTACCAGGCAAAATATAGGTTTGGAACAGCCACTGATGCTTTTGGAGCAGGTGCCAACATCTGTTACCACATCACTTGGAAATGAAAAAGTGATTGCACCGCTAAATCATTTGACCTTTCAAGTGATAGAGGGAATTCCTCTTTAATACTGAATCATATTACTTATTATCGTTTGTAATAAGGATAGGATGCAAAGGTAATGCACAGCCTTCTTTTTAGAAACAAGGCTCAGGGTTAGGATAGGTTCCATAAGTCATGACCAAGCTGAACACTTCAGCACAACGGCATTTGCCACTAGCACTCACATGGTCCAGAAGCAAGTAGCACCGGGATGTGTCCTCCAACTTTTCCCGTGTGTCTTCTAGCTTCTCTGTGAAGCAGTCCAAGTGGTGCTTAAGCGATGCTGCAAGCTCCTGAGTGCATTTAGCCGCTCCGGTGGCTGGTGACATCATGGCTGCCTCTTCCAAGAGGTCATTTCCCTTCTCGATTTGTCTCTGCAGAAGGAATAAAAACGGACAAATTAATCCTTGCTTCCTTTCACTCAAGGCCAAATCTATGGTGGTATCAACGTTTTTTTTTGTTTTTTTTTTGTGCATGGAGAAGGTAGGAAACACCAGAGGGTGAGCATTTGGGCAAACAGTGTTGTGCCCAGGACAGTAGGATGAATGGCACTTTTATTCATTACAGCATAAAGATGGCTTAACAGGCACATGGCAATGAGCATGGGATTCGTTAGGACCGAAAGTTACAATGACCTGTCGAGGTGCGATTTAAAATTACCGAATATTTGCGCATAATCATTAATTCTATAAGGGTGGGAAGGGAAATTTTATACTGCCGAGGTGTGCCGGCCGATTCGGGTTGATAGCAGACTATCTCGCAAAAGAAACTGTAGGCCAGCGCTCCCTTGACGCAGCATATGCCATCTGTCAGCAGCACTTCTCTCTATGCGAGCATGGTCTGTTTTTCTTTTAACAAGACAAGCTGTTTTTTTTTGTTGTTTTTTTTCAACTGCAAATTTTCACCACCTGCTTGCACCTCTGCAGTAAATTGCAGCGCAATATGTTGAAAAAACGATTTTTGTGGGAAGTCTAAAGTGCCTTAAAAGGTTTACATGATGTAGTTCTTAAACATATGCAAGACAACAACACAGAAACAGCAATACATTGATCTTATTTTAGACAAAAATTCCACGAGGCCTCACAATTTGCACTTTATTTTTCAAGTTTTTTCAAGCATCAATACTTGAACAATATTTATAAATGTCAAGCCCATAAACGGAAAATTGTTTATGCAAAATGAAACATTTATCCGTCAAAATTCAAAGAATCCCCATTAATCTAGCTTTATTAGTATTTACCACGCTAATATACATCAATAACCAAGAAAAAAAAGAAAAAGAAAAAAACATGTGAAGGAGGAAGCAGGAAAAATAGGGCATCACTTATTCCAGGCTTCTGGTTTTATATGCTCATGTATACCCTAACATCCCTAGAGATGCCCCACCCCCGAAGAAAACCCACCCCCATGTTTGGCATGTTTGGCGTTTTTTTTTTTACTCTCAAAATGATTGAGATAGCCCATTTCCAGTAATTGCAGCGCCCTGGCCAATGGTGGCCTCGGCAGAAATGGTGTTGCTTAGCCATGGCGGGGGATTAGCAAACGTTGATGACTGGGAAGAGTATTTTTTGGTTCATCGTCCTTCCCTGGAACCTCAGGTTTTAGCAGGTCATAACATCGAGAACCAGTATTTTTTTACAACTTTTTTATTTTTTTTTTATTTGGACACCGAAAGTTAGCTCACTCCTTATTTTCACCCAATTTGCTTTCGATTTTAGCTGGGCTATCTCTCGGGATAATACGGTAATCCCTTCATTGAATCTTTTCTCAACATCCAATTATTTCAAACGCACCACCTTCTGCAGGTTTTCGCCAACTAAGCTCCGACGAATGGCCCCACATTCTCCACCTGAGTTGTCCTACTACAATCTGACTGGGTCGGTAAAGCAGACAGCTATTGTTTATAGTTCTGCATGAGCCGCGCCCCTCCCGTATTTGCCTGCGCGCACACAGGTAAACAGGAAGATTTTTAACTCTCCGGCTGTTGTCACAACCCGAACAATGAAACAATTTATTTCCCCCATTCCGATACCAGGATTTTTTTTTTTTTTTTTTTTTTTTTTTTCTGAGCACACGGGGCATTGTTTTTTAAAAGTGACAATGGCGCGTAAAATTACAGCCCGCGATAAGCGGCTACGAAGTCCCGATGAAGAATCGTACAGGACCGCGCACGAACCACGGAGAAGCCAACAAATATAGACAAAAACGACCGCGTGCACGATATATTTCGCAACCGCGACCAGCCAACGGCGCGTTTTGAGCGCGCAGCATGATTTATACCCCAGCTGGTTTCTGGGACCGGCCGGCCCGGCCAGCGAGCCACAGCGCGGCTCAAAACTCAACAGAGACGGGCAAGGCAGCAGCAGCGTGGATACCTGGTGCCCACGTTCTCAGCAAAGAAAACAAACAGGGTAGGCCCCTCTCCCGAGCAACTTTCGGAGGGAGAGTTAAATAATCGCCCAGAGGTATCCACCCTGGTGGGAGGTCAGCTAGCCAGGCAGCAATTAGGCCTTCGGCGAGTAAGCGCGTGTGGGCATACCTTAGCCCGTACCGAGTCCGACGGGGAGCTCCAGCTCGCCCACTCCGACGGTGACCCCACGCATTGCTGTCGAACCGACTTCCGCTGTTGCGCAAAGAAAAAACACACACTGCCCGTGGCTCGGATATTAACACGAAATGAAGTACGATGCGAGGTCATTAGGCACGAAAAACGACGGACATAGTCCGATCATCTGAGCGAGGTCTCAAATATAGCGTAATCGCGCTACTAAAGTACGTTGATGTTGTTCCCTGCCTGTTACGCGACGACTAGCTTGCAAGACGAAGCCTACTTTTTGTGGGAATAAAATGGCGCATTCCATTTCAAGCCGAAACCTGTACCCTCACGCCAGTCGGCGCTACAAAGATTGGTTCTATACCTGTAGAAAGGAATGGACCGCTCCTTTATCTAGGAACTTAGTTGGCCACAGTTCACGTCGCAATGGGGACGAGCAGTAAAATAAAGCGGAAACGGTGCGGTTGTCAACCTGTTACAACGACGGCCGCGTAATCTCCAGTGGAAAGCACAAGTCGTAAGATAACGGATGAGCCAATACACATCTCAAAGGTGCCTCCCATCACGCGTTATCTCACATCGCCAGCTGTTCCGAGCGCCGGATCTCGAATATGCTAAGCGCACCGCTGATTAAAGCGGGAACGCTTTTGACAGACGTCCCAAGAGGCCAAGTGGTCGACCGCGTTTACAATCTTTTCGACAGACTGCAAAGGCGTCGGGCGAAAGTGGAACACCGCGGATATCTGCTACATGCCAACCGCCGGCGTGAACTTTGAACTATCGAGGGCTAATTGTTTCGTGCAGCTCGACAGGAAAGGTCGCAACCTCAGGATCCGAGAAAATAATCAGACCGAGTCAACTCCCTGAATGTGACCCCAATCGCGCACCATCGCGACTGCGATCCTCTGCGCACTCGAAGCGAATGTCAAAAAGGGGGAACGCATACCAAGGAACATTCGAAAGCTCCGGTCTAGCTTTAAGAACGGCGATAACAAAAAGGAAGAGTCGCTACCCTACCGGAAACCCTACAAGATGTAATCTCATTCCTAATCTAACGTGCATATGTGGGAAATGCACTAAAATTTAAATGTGAAAGTTTACCACAAATCTGAATGTTTAAAATGAGAAAACAAAAATAAAAACCGATGTGTATTCTGATGTCAGTGGTGTCGAGCTGCACATACGAGAAACCGCATGAATGAGCGGTTATGATTTTTTTTATTTTTTATATGTGGCTGCATACACAATTCAGAGGTGCGGCAACACCGTTATTGCTCTAACTGGTCAGGTTCCAGATTACTCATATCCCTTAAGGCTGACTTCGCCTGCATCATATTTTATAAACTACCCATTTCCCGGCGTCTCATCTACTCCGGTGTTTCCCATAGCAGCAATACGCAATAGTTCACTTCTGTACACATTGGTGCTATCATGCGCATTGGTGCTCATTCATAACTTGGTTCTATCCCCAAAGTTGGCTTCACCTAAACGACACATTTGCCTCTTCCGCCAGAATGCAGCTTCGCTGCAGTGTTCCTAAGAGCATCAATGAACAACTACAGAGTTGCGCGTAGTGGGGCCACAATTTACACAGTCGCTTTTGACTGCGTTTAAGACTGCTTGCGTCGAGCTGTTGCTAGGGTGATCCTTACGACGAGCCAATGGGCAGGCGCTGCACTCCACGACGCAACGCAGTCGACGCAACTGTGTGAACGAGACTTAACTTACTGAGCATGACCGTGTTTCTCAGTGTGATTGGGCTTCCAGTGTCCAGCAGGGTATGTAAAAGTTTTAGTGTATCGTTACGATGACGATACCCGATACTCCGTCGACGCCTTTGCGCCTGCGTCATATCGGAGGCATCGGAACGACCTGCTGAAACTCGAAAACCTGGAAGCTCCTCCCACCTTTCCACTTTAGCCGAGCGAACGCTGGATGGGCGACCTCCTCTCCAACCTTCGCTCTGCTAAAGTGAAAATAGGTGGGAGGAGCTTCTACTTTACTCTTAAACTGTCATTAACTGTAGTGATTGTGTGTCCGTGGATAGACGATCTAACAAAGTGCGACGACGCAAGTACTATTTTAGATAAAACGCGAGTTGCATGTCGATTACGTCAAAGCTGGACCTTTTTGCTTCGTCACCAACCTACTTCTGAATATTGTACTCTCCCTTGCAAAGAAGAGAAAAATCTACCGCCAAGCTATGTTCCAACTTTTTTTTTTTTTCGTTAGAAAGCAAACGTTTACACCTTACCGTATTCGCAAAGCGGCTGCCGTTTGAAAAACAAAAATGGCCTAGCGTCTCGCTTCAAGAAAATACACACTAACCAAAAAAAATATGCGGGAGCTCCAGAACGCCCAGAAATCTCAATAAAAAAAAAAGAAAAACAACAACAAAAAAAAGTTGGTCTTTGTCGAGAAGCGCTCATGGCGCCAGCAGCCGACCCCCGAAAGGAAACAGCGTTCTTCCGAAGCGAGCCAACCTTCCGCGAACGTTACAGCGCTTCTTCACCCTTGACCTCCCCCGGTCTCGGCCGTCTGCGGACCGAGTCGAAGAGGCGGAGAGAATGTGCCTTCCTGTCTTCGAGACTTTTCCTCACGAGCACGTCACCATCTGGAACCCACGTGTGCCGCACGTGTTCTCTCCGTGTATTTTAAATGCGAGCCTGCTGCTTCGACAGTGAAGGGCGCAGTCGCCATTGAACGGCGACAGCGCGACGACGGGGTGTTCATACCACGGAAGATTTTACTAGAGATACTTTCAGGAGCCACGTCATGGCACTAACCAGATGACGCTACGGGAGAGCGTGGAGGGGCACT